TTTCTTTAAAATACATTCAAAATGTTTAAAAATAAACTACAAAATTAATTAAAGTGCAAATTAAAATATAGTTCTATCTGCAACTGTGTTTGATAATGTTTTGAACTTTTAAAATATTAAATGGTAAAAACAGAAGCTGCTCTTCATATTAGTGACAAACTTTGGTGTTTTTTGATGGGTTACCTTCATTTTTGCTTCTACTTTTCATTTAAAATAAGTTTCCATTCTCAGCAGGTTTCTAAGGTTCTTCTTCTACATATTAAAAAAGTTGTTAAACATCTGAGTGGTGCACTACTGCTACTAGTGGTGAGAAAATGTATTGCACCTTATTCAAATTCAATGCGGTCCCACAGCCCTCTGCGCCCCAAAGTTACAAACTGTTGTTCTTTTGAGGCCCTCACCTACTTACCTATCCATCCATCCATCCATCCATCCATCCATCCATCCATCCATCCATCCATCCATCTATCCATCCATCAATCAGCATTTGGGATATTCTTCTTTTACTTTTGTTCTGTTCTGTGGGTTTTTTTCCAGATCAGACTTGACAAATTCCCGGTCAGGTATCCACAGGTCTGGAGTTTTTATTTTATTTTATTTTATTTTATTTTATTTTATTTTGTTTTTTTACATCTTTGTTCTTTTTCTGCTATCCTAGTGGTGTTGTTCTCATACTGATGTTTTAAACTCCAAGCTGTATGGAAGACAAAGTAAACAGGAAACGGTTACATCACTAATCAGGGTTATTTTTATAACATCATCAGCTACTGTTTCCTGATTGTGACATTTCATTGCTCAGAATTCTGTGACTCAGAGAAATTAACTTTTTGTTTTGTGTGTGTAAAATGATTCGTACCTAATGTTTGATTTGTTTGTGTGTCAGGTTTTAGGTTTTGATATCCTGCTGATGAAGAACCTGAAGCCAGTATTATTAGAGGTCAACTCTAATCCCAGTATGAGAATAGAACATGAGCAGGAAGTAAGACACTGTTAACGCCGACACACAATACGCCAATCTTTATAATCATTGACATCGTCTAATCAAATGACATCTCTTTATTCTTCAGGTGGCACCGGGGGTTTTTGAATACGTTCCCAGTCCAGTGGATGAGGAGGTCAAAGTGGGAGTGATCAGAGACACGCTACGCCTCATGGATCCCTTCAACAAGAAACCAGCACCGTAAGCACCCACAGACGGTCTACACACAATCAGAATTATCCAGGAGGTTTGCCCTGCCCCCCAGCTGCACCGCTCGCCTCCCCATGAAGGTCATGGCACGTGATGAGCTAATAAACGTCTGTGTGTGTTGCACATTGCCACTTCACTGCACCCGGGGCAGATGCTGAAGCTGTTACATCATCACCCACCCACCCCCAGCGCTGCGCCCCCGACCTCCCTGGGACTTTTGGAGTTTAGACAGTAGGGCTGGACGATGGCCTAAAGATTTTCCATCAACCATCATCAGTCCAACTATCAGTGATTGATGATTGCACATGTGACTTTAATCTTTTTGTCTAAGGAGGGGCAATTCCATCTCTATTGTCTGTACAACTGTTGAAGCCAAACAAAACCAAACAAATGACTAAATAACTACAAACAAACAAAGTAAGCTTGAATAATCTCTAAATTTGAACAAGCAAATAACAAAAACAACATCAGGCATCCTTCATATCCTTTCTCTACCAAACACTACATGGCATTATACTTTCCCGATAAATTTGACCTCATCATCTTTTTAAACATATCGATTGTTTTTGAAGTTTTTATACTAATATCAAGTTAATTCCACAAATCTATTCCCTGAATTACAGTGCAGTGCTCCTTCAGACTAGTTCAAAGTAGCTGTGTTTCCATTGCAAATGTGTGCAAAATTGTCGATATTCTGTTAATGTCGAAAAAACACAGTTTCGCAATTGTGGTGTTTCCATTAAGTAAGAAATGCTATTAAAGTCACGCGTGAATAAGTTTGTTCTTGCGATGTCATTACAAACATGGCGGCAATGGATGTAAACACATACATAATTGCTACCATGGCACTAGAGCTCATCAGAGGAGACTTCGGTGTCTTATCGAGGCTTTCCAGCAACAAGCCCTTTATACTTGGTATACGTATGTGACGTTTTTGGGAAATTGAAGTCGGTGAGTTTACTGCTTTCTTTTACAACTTTAGTGATTTTACTACTACTTCTACTTCCTATTGTCTTCTTCGTCATCGTCTTTTTCGCTAGTAGAAACAGCCGATTTTTGATCACGTCACTCCCGTGATGCAAATTGCAGTTTTGCAAAACACACCAATTTCGATACGGCTGAAAAACCACCTCATCCTAGCGCAAAAAGATTTTGTCGAAAAAAGGAAGTTTTTTCGAAATTGATGTGTTTCCATTGAACAAATTAATTTTCGAAATTCTAATTTGCCCATTTTCATGGTCACTGGAAACGCAGCTGCTGGAGGATTTACAAAAATCTCCATTCCCTTGAGGTGGGTGGGAGGGGTCATAGCGAGTCTCTCTTTCAACAAATTTTAAAGTGCCAATATTATGTGTTTCTCAGGCATATATTTAAATACAATACCATAATAAAGTATCTACTGTATGTCACCTTTAGTTGTTATTAAAATGGTGTTTTTATGTTTAAATAGAAAATAAACTTATCTTCTCATCACTTCCTCTTCTAAACGCCTTGAAATTTGGCCTCTTGTCTCGTTCTGCTCCTGTACCTTCCCGTTCGGKGGGGGKGGGGGGGGGTGGTTTCGCGCTATGATGCAGTAACAATTTCCTCAAAGGGATTTTGAATCTGAAAAGAGCTTCACTGAGTGAGAAGTAATGTTGAGAGCTCAGCAGATGGTTAAGTTTCACTTTCAGTTTCACCCGAGAGCCTGCAGGAGTCATGGGGGGGGTGTGTGTGGGGAGCGGGTGCGCTCTGCCATGAGGAAGTTCGGCTTAAAGACACGTTTCAGCTGATTAAATATATATTTGTCGGGTGACCATATCACCTTCTACTAATAATCCTTATAGCTCATTTTTGTAAAATAAAAACAGGGAAACCAGCTAAACACATTAGTTAGTTTGACAAGATCACTTTAGCCCCGCCCACTTTGCACATGGTCGGTTCTAAATCACATACAAGATTCGATCTGAACCAATTGTTGTGTGCATTATAAGGGAGACCTGCTCACTTTAGCCCCCAGTCCATTCGTCCCTCCGTAGAAATTTCATAGTCTAGCCCTAAATCTTACATGTCCTTATTTTTCCAACAAGAAATATTTTTGAAAGCTGGAACCTGCAGAAAAAATATCTGTAGCAACTTATTTTCCTGATTGCCTGCAGTGCACTGTGAAGTAAGAGCTCAGTAAGGAAGAAAAATGTTGCCAGAATTGTAGTTCCGTTAGAAACCCTGGCCATGTCTCATTGTTTTTCACAAAACCTTAAATGCAAAAGTCAAATTGCATAAGCCCTGATAGAGAAAATGTGGGTTTAACCATAAAGCATATACATCATTGATGTAAAATCAGGGGTGAGAGCACCACATTGAACAACCCTCAGACACTTACCACACCTTCACCTTCACGTGAACTCTTCCACATGGTCTTCTCTTTTAAACCAGGGCTTTATTTCTTTGAGAAAAACTTTGTATATTTATCAGATGGGTCTAGTTCACCTATCAGGACCTCACTGGGTTGGTTCTGCTGTAAGAAAATTTAGTGTTCGTTAACTGAAATCGTGACAGAACCACATGAATGTTGAAGAGATTAAAATTTGAAGGAAGAGAAGGACCATACAACACCAGTGATTGGAGTGAACGGTGGTTTAATGTTCTCTCTGCAGACATGAAACCAACGCTGAATGAAAACCGTAAGTCCCGGTCTATAAATACATGTTTCTTCAGTGCCTGGTGCGCCCACTACAGGCCTACGGCTGAATCACAGACACTCGCACAGACATCCTGTCCTCATGTCTGATTAATGGTTTCTCTATGTGTTGTGATTGTGTTTCAGGCATGTATCTAAACCTATTTTAATCAAGACATAACAATAGTTAAACAATAGATTATAAAAATCAATACTTAAAAAAAGAAAACTATGAATATAGTGTGGTGCTTTTAAAATCAGTTTCTAAATGACTAAATAAATTTCTTCACTGCTGTTTTGCTTGAATGCAAATATAAAGAATATTTAAATTCATGAAGTCATTTTTTTTGAAGAACAATGTAGAAAATAAGCTTTTTTGCATTATTCTGTTTCAGGGTTTCTCAATTGAAGTCAGGCGGGTTTGAACACGTGGAGGAGATCCCATTGGATCCTGAATCTCACAGCAGGAGTCCGGACGAGATGGGAAATCTGCCCTCCCTGTGTCTGAAACAGGTCTACCCCAAGTACACCAAACAGTTTAACTCCTTGCGGCTGGTGGAGAGAATCGCAGCTCTCTTCATTCGTTTCCTCGGGGTCAAAGGCAACATGCGGCTTGGTCCCACAGCCTTCAGAACCTTCATCAGGTGCATAGTTTAACTGATTACATACTGATTAGAATCAGCTGGTAGCCTTCTCCTCGCCTGAAACGCATCGCCAAAGTGGAGAAAACAACCAGAAAAAAGTAAAAGTTTAAAAACACTAATCCTGTTTGATATATTCATCAGGGACATGATTTGATTCTACCTGAGAGACACATTTGGCTCTAAATGTTTCTGAGTAATACAGAGGATGAATCATTTTGAACAGAACTGGTACTTTACTAATCCCTTGTTGGAAATTGTTGTCTAACAGCAACAGAGGTGTTTAATGTAAGGCCAAAAAGGAAAAACAATTTCAATGTATAATAACTAGTGCTAGGCATAGATTAAAGGTTTTTATTGTGAATAATCTTAATCTTTTTTTAGATTAATTGTTATTGTACTCAATATTTTGTACAAAATTAAATTATGAATGAATACTTTTTTTTTTGGTCACATAGAAAATACATCAAACTAAAATTTAACCCTATCTGACCAAAATGGAAGAGGCAGAAGCCAATGGCTTGTTGTGCCTCACCTTACTATCTCTAATGGATTCCCCAAAACACAAAATGCACAAAAGCGCACTGAAACAAAAACATAAAAAGAAAAAAGAACCAAAAAACAAGTAATTTCATTGCACTATTGTACAAAGTATGACTGTGAAATGACAATAAGGTTTATCTTATCTTATCTTATCTTATCTTATCTTATTTACTTACTTACTTTTTACTTTAATTTGTTGTTATTCTTGTTGCTGTTTTTTATGTTTTTTTTAATTGTACATAATTTTGTACAGCCCCTTGAGCTGCTTTTAGTATGAATGGTGCTTTATAAATGAATAAAAACTTATCTTATCTTATCTTATCTTATCTTATCTTAATGACATGTAGGTGATCACTTACAGCATATCAGTCACTAGTAGTCCACTGTTAGTTTTTCCCTCCATATCATTTTTTAAATTATTATCAATTAATGTTGAATTATCATTTATTATTATAATAGGTTTTATAATTCATAGTTAAAATGTAAACTATTGATAATATTTAGAAATTGGAATGATCATTAGATTTCAACAGATCTATGTTAAAATCACCACAAACAAAAATGACCTGGTCTTTATACTCATTGAACATCTCAGATATCTTCTTAATAAATTGATCAGTACATGTTCCTAGTTCTCAGTACAAACAACTAGTACAAAAGTCATATTATCATTTGCATTTAAATGATATTACAACAACACGCCCTCCTATCAGTAATTTGGAAGTCTAAATAAAGTGGCAGAAAATCAGTTGATCCTCTTCTAAAATCTTTATTCTCAATGTCTGACTCCTATCAGTAGATGATGATTGGCCTGTTGTTTTGCCTTTGATGAATATTATGACAGGAGGCTATCTTTTTACTGTAAATAACAATGTCTATGTTAGTGAAAAATGATTATATGATCCTAACTGGCCAGAACTGTTTGTTTTTACCAGTTTTTGGACTCTCTTATGACTGTAGTTTCTTTGCTTCTTTAGGTAATCCAGGTTCTTCTCCGAGTAATAACAGACTAAAAAAACTAGGAATGAGAGGATGTAGGTGAAGGCTTTTACTCACCCATCCTTCATCATCCAGCATGTCTGATCTGTTGCTTTGTGTCCAAACAGAATGAAGGACACCTGAACGTGGCCGTTTCTATATTTAAATAAAATGTTATTTGAATTATCTTCAGGTACTAAGATTTGTTTGATTTTTTTTTTTTCAGGACGTGTAAGCTGAGCAGCAGCAGCTTCAGCATGGCTTCAGTGGATATCCTCTACATAGACATCACCCGTCGATGGTCATGTACGGCACCTGAGTCCAGAGAAGCAGGTAACACACCACCAGTCAGTTAGTAGCCGTGTTTCCATCTAATTTTGATTTGAATTTTGAGCGAATTTTTTAAATTTCGCTAAAAGGAAAAAACGAAGAAATGCGAATCAGATGTGTTTCCATCAACTGGCTCAAAGCGAATCAGTTACTTCAGACACACGTGTGTAGTAAACAGGAAGTTAAAGTCTCATCTCATGAACAGCCGACTCAATCATGCACTTTATATAAAGATAGGACCCAGTGGCCCAGGACTGGACCTGATCTTGAGCGAGCATGCACTTCCTAAGGCAGGGGTGCCCAACCTTTTTTGAACCAAGAGCTACTTTTGATGTCAGCAGTTTTCCGAGATCTACTCGTCCAGTCTCAGTATCAAAAAACATATATTTTCGTCTCCCTACTCCTTACTTCTTTAAATTAAATAAAACGGACAGTAATGTGTTGCTAGTTTTATTTAGCTTAAAGTATTGTCAAACAAAACTATCTACTTAACCATATATTTACCTACAAAAAAAAAGAAAAGATAAAATCCTTACTTAACTCCTGACAGAGAAACAGAAGTGATGCTCAAGCAAATAGGATAATTTTTTTTACCTCCTTCAATTAGTACTCCCTGTAACGTGCGAGCTATGAGGGCTGGAAACCTGTCCACTGAGAGAACCACAGAGTCAAATAACTTTGGAACATGGGAACTCGCCTCCATTTATTCAAAGAACTCTCCTCTCTTTCTCTCCATACAGGGGAGGAAAAACAAAACAAAAAACTAAAGTCAAAGCATACAATATAAAACTCTCTCGTTTATACTATTACAAAAAGTGACTTACGATGGTGCAGATTCACATATCTCCAACAACTATTTCAAATCTCAATCTGCAGCATGCAGGATGGTGTCATCTGTAGGTGTTGAAGAGCTCAGTCTCTCACTGGTCCAGACTGCCGGCTCCAGACCATTCAAAGAGTTCCACCTGGTTCACCACCTATAAACAAGACACACACACAGCCACGCTAGGTACGGAAAACAAGGGCACACCCAAACTGCAAAATAAATAAATAAATAAATAAATAACACAAAGGTGCCAGTCAGTGTATAAGACACTAGTCTTGTCTAAAATGTCATAAAAAAACAACATACAGGCACATTGTGACAAGTCTAGAGGAGACAACTTTTTATGCAAGCTATATAAAAATAATGTATAAATAAATAAATGTAAAAAAATGTATGTCTACCTTAGTGGGACTTTTGACACTGAGAGGCGGCCAGGGTCTCATAGGCAGGCAGTATGAGGTGGTTGAGGTGTAAGCAGGTCTCCAGATGATTATCAGTCTTTGTGAATCTGTTGTTGGACTTGATGATTTTCATGTGAGAGAAAGCAGACTCCAGAACTCTCCATTCATGCGACTTGTTGCTCTGGATTTGATCCCAATGCCATTTTACAGAGTCAAAACCTAATTTTCAACCCAGAGCAGTCCAGACTGAAACTCGGACACGAATTTGGACACATCCATCCATCCTGGTGGACAACTGCATGTCTTTATAGCAGCCACAATCTCACTTTTATTTTTAAAATCACGGAAAAGCACGTCTGCGGCATCAAACGCTTCTTTCATAACTTAGTCATCGCTGAAAGACGTGTGTTGAGGCAGGTACAGGGCTGCATTAGCATAGCAGCCTCACCTTAGGTGGGGAAATCCGCCTCGTAGCGTCTGTGCATTCTTTTGAAAGAAATGCTGTTCCACGTTATCCTTTTTGGACAAGCCAAGGCAGCGCTCGAATCACATATGAGTCCTCTTCCCACTCCAGGTGAAAATAATAAGTTTTACTAGTTTTGCTAGCTGTCTTTCATTCATCATTTTTTTTCGCCTCGCTGCCATGTTTTAACACATGACCCTAATCTCGCAAGACCATGTTTGGAGTGCTGTTTCACAGCACCCAAAACTAGCGAGACTGGAGCGCGTTCAAGAATGCAATGTTAAACAAACGTTGACAAGGGTGCGTTCAAGAATGCAATGTTAAACAAACGTTGACAAGGGTGCATTCAAGAATGCAATGTTAAACAAACGTTGTAAAGAGTGCGTTGAAGATTGCAATGTTAAACAAATGTTGCGAAGAGCGTGTTTAAGGCTGCAATGTTAAACAATGTTGCGTTCTACAAGCTCTGTGATCCATTGCTCCGTGAGCTACTGCTAACCAGCTAAAGATCTACCGGTAGATCCCGATCTACTGGTTGGCCTGGCCTGTCCTAAGGGATTTACCAACTCTGCAGAGCCATTGGGCAGCAAGCGGGACCCTCTGAGTAAATTCTCCCCTAACCTGACCCTATACCCTAAACCTATCCACCCCAGTACATTCCTGACCCTAAAGCTAACCTAAACTCAATTCACATCTTAGTCCTAAATTGAACCCCTAAACCACCAATGGTATTTCCCCCAATGTGAACTGCAGTGGGTCCTCACCAGGCTGTATGTACCAGGAAAAAGGTCCAAAAATCATCCCAACCAAGTAGCAAAAACATGTACACACACAATGTTTTTATCTGTCTTCATGGGGACTTTGCATTGACTTCCATTCATTTTCCAGTCATTTCTATTGCCTAACCCTGACCCCTTACTCTAAACCTAGCCTAAACTCAATTCACTCCTTGTTCCTAAACCTAAATCCCACCCACAAACGGCATCCGTACCCATGGGGACCAGGCTTTGGTCCCCATAAGGACCATTGTGTCCACAAAAGGCTGTGTTTGTCTGGAAAATGGTCCCCATGATGTAGCAAAGTGTCCACACACACACACACACACACACACACACACACACAC